ACTCTAAGGGACCACAACAAAAATTTGAATGTTTGCAAATTACAAATGAAATGCGTAATCAAATATTTCAATCTTTTTGGGAAATTAGTTCTTGGGAAGGTAAAAAAATTTATGTAAGTAGTCTTGTACTGCACTCTCAGCCCAAACACAGAAGACGAAACACTGCAGAAGAAGAGTCTCGAAAGAAAACAGGGTTTAAATATTATTTAATAACTAAAGATAATCCAGAGTCTACCAAAAAATATCACGTATGCAAGAAAATGTTTTTAGCCACTTTAGGTATTGGAGAAAGATGTGTAAGAGAATGGGTTTTAAACAAATGTTTACCAAATATGGAGCTAGGTATTGAACCGGCTTTAGTAGAGCCACCTCAGGATTCCGAATGCACAAAAAATGTTAATCAATTCTTAGACAGCTTGCCTAAAGTTGAATCGCACTACTGTCGAGCATCCACTAGGAAACTTTATTTGGAACCCACTTGGAATAGTTACAGACATTTGCATCGTGAGTTTATTAACTATTGTGAACGTCAAAACCTAAGATCTTGTTCTTGGAGACTTTTCTATAAAACTTTTAAGACAAGAAATCTTGAAATTTATACACCTCGTAAGGACCAGTGCAACACATGCGTGAAGTTTAAAAAGGGAAATTTAAGTCAAGCAGATTACGATAGTCACGTTGCCAAGAAAGAACAGGCACGGTCAGAAAAAGAGCAAGACAAACAAGAAGCTATCTCATCAGAGGCAGGAAACTCAAAGTATGTCTACACTATGGACTTACAAGCTGTTCTTCTTTGTCCTTTTACCCAAGCCTCCGCCATGTACTATAAACAAAAACTGAAGGTTCACAACCAAACATTTTTTAATCTTAATAACAAAGATGTGTCTTGTTATTTATGGCACGAGGGAAATGGAGGTTTAGACAGCGATGTTTTTGTTTCCATTTTAGTAAAGTTTCTTAATGAAGAGATAGAAAGGCAGAGCCCGAAGGTAATAATCCTATGGAGCGACAGTTGTACCTACCAAAACAGAAATGTGAATTTGTCAAATGGTTTGCTGGAGATAGCCATGGAAAAAAATATTATTATTGAACAAAAGTACCTGGAGGTAGGACATACCCAGATGGAGGTGGATTCAGTCCATAGTGTAATAGAGAGAAAGCTGGGAAGAAGAAATGATATAGCTGTTCCCGCCGATTATAATAAAATTATAAGAGCGGCCAGGCAAAACCCATCCCCTTATAAAGTAGTGTCTCTGCATTTCAACGATTTTTTGCAATACAAAAAAGGAATGTATTCACAAATTCGACCTGGAAGCAAAAAAGGTGATCCCTGTGTTACAGACATTTGTGCATTGCAGTATCTTCCTGAAGGACTAATAAAATACAAAATAAATTTTTCGGATGAATGGCTCGAACTGCCACGTAGACCATGTCGTACTAGAACTTCTTTCTCTCACGAACCTCTATATTTATCTCCTCGCCAAATTGAGGATACAAAATTCATACATCTTCAAGAATTGAAATCTGTCATCGAATCAGATTACCATGGATTTTATGACAATTTAAAGCACAGCTGCAAGTCTGACCAAGTTTGTTCACATATCAAAAATTAATATATTTTATTCTTTCCTGTTTATTTTAAGATTACATATTTGTTTAGAATTTTTTGTTTAGTTTTTCATTACGTAAATAAAAAGAATAGAACTGTTAAAAATTATTTTTGTGAGATGTATAATGGATTACAAAATTGTCGTATGTGACATAAATATTTCCATTTTCAATGCAATATGTCGTATGTAACGGCATTTTGCTTAATATTCCATTGAACAAAAAAATCGAGTTAAGTACTAATACCCTAATAGAAAAATACATAGTAGACAAAAAATAGCAATTTCAAATTTAAAATTGGTCGATAAAAACAGTTTTCTTTCTCTCCTGAAAAATTACCTCTTTTCGACATACGACATATTGCAGTATCACCGACGAATGTAAGTAATATTCGTAGAGCTATTGCTGTGCTTGGAAATGTTGAAATTGAATCATTAGTAAAAAGGTATTGTATCAAAGCATGAGAACCATTAGACTGATTTTCTGGAAAGTGCAAGTTTAAAGCTGTATTTTCATTAAATGAATCGATAGATAGATTCGTCTTTAAGCTTTAGATTAAGCTTTTTACAATGTATTAAAATACGTCAGTAAAAGTCTTTAACTCCTCTGATCTGTCCTTTAGAGAGGTTAGCGTCCGATCTGAGATTCTGAAAAAAAACTCTACTTTGTATTTAATATTGCGGTCTAATAACACAACAAACACAAATAATAAAAATGTAGCAGGGTGTTATAGGTTTAAAATATTAACAATGAATATTTTGATAACATATAGTAGAAAACACCAACTTTATCACTCCCTCATCAAATTTGCAGGATAAAAATAACACATGTTGCAATTACAGCATATCAACCTATTTTCATTTCAATGCAAAATAAGTCTATAACGCATAGGTGGCTGTGAAAAATAAAAGCCATGACAATTGTTTTTATTAATCACAGCTGTCAGAATACGTTTAAAATAGCTTTGGGTAGTTAAGGTTTTCAAAATGGGTAGAGGAAAGGTTATTAGTGAGAAAATTCGGTTACTGATAATTAAATTTTTTAATTCTGGGAAATCAAACTCAGAAATTGCAACTTTGTTAGACTTATCGCGGTACAGTGTGAGAAATATTGTTAGAAGATATAACGTAACTGGTTCAGTTAATATTAAGCCACGATATGTGAAAAAAAGTGATATCAAAAATGCCGACCGAAGAGCATTAAGAAGAATAATCGTGAAAAACAGGCGTGCCAATTATTTACAATTAAGTACTCTGTGGAGTGACGCTGTTGAAAGGAGAATTTCGAGGTCCACTACTCATAGAGAGGCCCACAAACTGGGATTTAGCACTTGCAAGGTAAGTTTTCTTATAAAAAAAGTGAAGGAAAAACCCTAAAGTTGCACAACTTGTTTTTAGGCCAAAGAAAAGCCACTATTAACTCCATTGCAGAAGAAAAATCAGCTTAGATGGGCTAAAGAACATAGACAATCGACACCTCAACAATGGTGTGCAATACAATGGAGTGATGAGGCCCGATTCGAAGTTTGTGTTGGTGACAGTCGCAGTAGAGTTATGCACAAAAAAAAATTAAGCATTCCATGTCGACTGTCTGAAGAGAAAAGTGAAATTTCCAGCATCTATTATGGTCTGGGGCAGTATGTCATCTAACGGAGTAGGAAAACTTCATTTTATTGATGAAAATGTGGATACAAACAAATATTTGTCAATTTTAGAAGAATCGCTTTTACCAGTGATGGAAGAATCTTTGACATCCGGCAAGTTTTTGTGTTTCAGCAAGATGGTGCAGCCTGCCATAGCTCAAAAAAGGCTATAAAATGGATGGAAGAAAATAATGTACCACTTTTAAAATGGGTTTCTAGCGGTCCACATCTGTCACCTATTGAAACTTTGTGGCACGAGGTGAAAAAGGTTCTACGACAACATCCTGCTCGTACAATCACCGAACTGAGCCAAAAGGTTAAAAAAATATGGGATTGTTTCACACCAAATTTTTGCCAAAACTTCGTTAACACTATACCCCAAAGAATTTCAGCCGTAATAAAAAATAAAGGTGATGTTACCCAATGGTAATCTTTCAATTGCTGCTTTGTTAACTGCGCGCATTTATTCGCACATTCTTTATTTGTTCAGATGTTCTATTAGTTATAGGTCTAAGTGATTTCAAATATGTATTTTTTACGACTAGAGTGTATCTAAAATGTTTTTGAGAAAATTAATTGTTTTAGAAGTAAATAGTTTCGTCATGTTTAGTTTATGAAGGCATATTTTGGTACAAATCTTGAAGTGGGCCAACTGAAGTGGGTAGGGGCTCGCATGAGCTGAGCGAGGAACATAAAATGCACGACTGTTGATTTCCAAAATGTTTTGTTTCGATATGTGTTTCTGCCGCCCCGTTGAAATACCGCCCTTGTGCGGTGCACGCTCTGAATAATTATCAATCGTGGACGTTGTGGGATAAAAAGGAGAATCCATCAATTTTGACTAATATCTTGCCGCCAGAGAGAAAGTCAGCCACCCATCTGCAAAGCTTCTCTGGGTGGCCAGAGGATAGAAGTTTGCATAAGAAGGCAGAGTGTCACAGCGGATAGTACGCTTTCATAATATCAAGAGCAGCGACATAAGACTCACCATGAGACTCGTTGAGTTTACTCCACAATTGCGTGACGGAAGCTAGGAGGTCCCCTATGGATTGCCGGTGCCGGAAAGCATACTGTCGCTAATCATGCCGTGATGTTCAAGGTAGTAGCTTGAGATGTATGCACCTCTCCATCACCTGTCTTATAACAGAAAGCAGAGCTGTTGGCCTGTAGTTGTAAGGGTTGGTATTAGACCCTTTTTGGGATGGGTTGGATATGAGCAAATTTCCAGATTGCTAGAAATGTGCCGGATTATTAAGATATTTGGAAGAGACGTGAAAGAACTGGATCAAGCTCCGCAGCACGCCTCGCCCATATAATGGCAGGAATCAAGTCCGGACCAGAACCTTTGTTGATGTCGAACGACAAGAGCACCCAGCTTACGGTCTTTGAATCGACGGCACTTGGACGATGTAAAGTTGGCAGCAAAGATCCTGGCAAGCACTACCGCTTTAGTTGAAATCGAATCAATGATGTATCATTACAGTTTGTGGAAAGCCCAAAAGTTTTACCAAATTGAGACCGTACCAATTTATCATTACGTTCTAAGTGAATTTAGCAAAATTAACGCACACGGATTACTTGATGTCTTTCCTGTTTCTAACTGTACCATAATCGTTTTTTTTTCCGCGCAGTGGTCGCTCCCGTTGATAAAAACTGCGTGTATCCGGTCTTGGAGATCATCATGGTCGCTAAAACGTGACTAATCTATAGATAATAATCTGTGATAAAAACTACTTGAAATTTATTTTAGCACCGCTCTCCTGTAAAAAATATTCAATCCATCAGCCGCTCTACACATGATGACTAAAGTAATTATCGTCATATTAAGTTTGGCATATTTGCAGCATCAGGCACTTTCCCAGATTCAGGTAATTGGTCCATATTATATTATAAAGAACTTTTTATATACTACAAGAGTTGTTGCCTCAAATAGACGATAGCACGAAACTAAAAAAGAAATCTGTTAGATTCAAAGAGATAAATACATATATTTAACGACAACTTTTACAGAGCCAGTTATAAAGTTGTCTAGCCCTCAAGTCCACTTGACTTATCAGCCCCAGATGTCCTCCTGGGGGATTTCTGAAAAACACGATTTATAACAACAAATCAAGCACAGCAGTGCAGCTAAGGAGCAACGTGAGCTATTGGACATGTTCCTTTCGAAACCAAATTTCCCTAAGTTCAATAAAAATATTTAAATATACCTACAAGTTACAAGAAAAATCTTAATCAGATCCATGCGCACTAACAATACAACTGATTCTTCTTGTCACAACTGACGCGTCTTGCATGAAAATTGATATTTATTTTCATGCAAACTTGCAGTTCTGGTGGAATAGTTAGTAACTTACAAGTTACAATGCATGCAAATGCCCCAGGCCGGCTGGTGGTTTGTGTGATTATATTTAAATGTTTACAGATATGATTGTGTCGATGTTGGATGGTCGACGATTGAAACTAGCTTTTGAATACTAAATCCATGTATTCTGAAGGATAAAAACCCAAACCAGAATTACATAACCTTGCTCGTTTGCATCGTGGAAACAGGGCTGTCTTGCAACTGCAAGTGATTGGATTGTCTTACAGACAAAACATTGCCGCCTTGCAATTGAAAGAGATTGCATGCAATGATCATAAGCAAATTTGCTATCAACAAAAGTCGTTTGACTCTTTAAGCCTGTCACTACTGCTAGACAAGTAGAATATGCTTTTGAGGGACTCTCAACCCATTGTATATCTACTGTTAAATGTAGAAGCTTTCTGTATTGAAAAAGGACCTCAGAAAAATACAGTCAATGTTGCTGTAATGAAAAGGTGTCAGTTAACTATGGTATCCAGAAATATGGTTGTGTATAAAATTATTTTATTGCAACAATTTGATGCTGTGAAAGGTTATTTACAGTTATAGTTGGATAAAAAAAATATCGTAACGACTCCAAGTTGAAATTTATATACAATGTAGTCACTTGTAGCTAGGCTGATTCTATCCCCCTTTTCAGGAGGATGATAATGATGCCGAACTCTACGTCACACTGAACCAACCAAAAAACAGTACACTAAGAGGTCATCACTTGACAAGTTTTCAAGGTAAAAAGTATTGTGCTTTCCAAGAAATTCCATACGCGATACCACCTATAGGTGAAAGGAGATTCAAAGTACGTATATGTTTTGTACTAAGCAGCAATGCTATTTCTAAAATCACAACAGTTGTTTAGTAAGGCTCTTAAAAAATACATGCATCAGACTATGAGGAGCTAAATCTAAAGAGAAACATGACCAGTTTCATGGAATTTTAGGCACCAGAACCTATGCAGCCTTGGAAGGGCATATATAATGCTACAAAAAGTGAAAAGATGTGTACACAGTTTACAGAAAGGAGAGGAACCACTGTTACTGGTGAAGAAGACTGCCTGTACTTGTACGTTTACACTCCATTGGTATGTTGATTTCTATGCTTATGTTTATTCTGACCCGTTCCATAGTGCTACTGATCTATTATTATTATGCTTGTTGTTACTGAAATATTCGATGAACCTGAAGATTGTCAGCCATATGCATGCATCCAAAAAGGGATATGAAATTTAGCAGCACCGTCTTTAACACGAAACACAAAAATGAATTTAGAAATATACAGTTGAGTGTGTCACGTGCCAAAATCACGTAACCTTTTTTTTATCATTTTGATCACTTACTAGTAATTTTTTTATTAATTGTAGAGTGTCCATTCCTAGGCCAAACCCTTTTTAATGATATTCTCTTGGTACATTTCATAGTTTGTTGATTGTGTAATTTCACACGTATTATATCTTTCTTTCTCAGTGATTCAGTATTGTGTTAAAAAACTCTGAGATATGTCTCCGTCGCTTGGTTCGCTATCGAGCATATCTTCTTCAAGGCCACTCATAGGGAACCAAGCAAAAATCACAGAGTTTTTTAACACAATACTGAATCACTGAGAAAGAAAGATTTAATACATGTGAAATTTTACAATCAATAAACTATGAAATTTACCAGAAGAAAATCATTAAAAAGGGCTTGGCGTAGGAATGGGCACTCTTACCATTGATAAAGAGAAATTCAGATTACTAATAAGTGATCAAAATAGTAAAAAAAAAGGTTGCGTGATTTTGACACGTGACAAGTGTTTGGTTCTTTTACAATCTCATAGATGGCGCTAGGATATTTGATCCGCTTGGGGTCCGTCTAATATCTATTATATGAGTGCCTCGTTTTTAAATAAATTAGTTGTAGTACCCCTGATTGGGTAGAATACCACACATTATCCAAGCTAAAAATAAGCGACAGTCTTGCAACCTTGTTCCCGCGTCCACCTACTGGCGATCTCACTTAGTCATGATGCTTCGGAAATAGTTATTTACCTAACAAGTGCGAAAGAGTTATAATAATTTAGTATAATAATAAACTCGAAATTTTCAATGTCTTATAAGAAATTAAATAATTGTAAAATCAGCATCATCAACAACAACATCAATAATTGATTTATAATAATTATTAACAATATTAAAAGTAAAGGAACAGTTATTTCTTCCGCACGCGGGTAGAAGAAATAATTGTACGACCTGCAAAACCCGAACCAGTACTATTTGCATTACAGGCTATTGCAAAAAGTTATACTTCACACCCACATTTTTCAGGCGTCCGTCCTTTAGCTTACAAAGCCTTATGTATCTAACGATAGTCGTATACCCCATCGTTAATAATAGTAGCTTTATTTCCGAACAGTTCTCTATGCATAGGATAATGTATAAACATGAGCACAATATGTACAATAACTATTGGCTGTCTTAAGCAGTCAATTAACATTGGTGGAAAATACGTCACGTCAAGGTTGTAACATTGTTGCGCTTTTAGTTTTGATAACGTGTGGAATTAAGCCCAATCAGGGATATCACTACTGATTTATTTACTTTACGATGCCCCCATATAATTAAGATGGAACTTCACTTAAGATATGTTTGTTTAATCTAACAGTTTTAATTAGGTGTCCTTAGGTATTGAATAACTTACTCCAACTGAAGGTACTTAACTTACTTATAGTATAGTAGTTCATAATTATGTATTATTATTTTTTTTTATTCCTACAGAATCCAAAAAAGATCACGAAAAAGCTACCGGTTTTATTTTGGATTCATGGAGGAGGTTTCGTTGAAGGTTCAGGCAGAAACCAGACCCACAACCCCACATATTTTATGGATGAGGAGATTGTAATTGTAACTATAAACTACCGATTAGGAATCTTAGGTATATTACCTTGATTGATTACATCACTTACCTAAATATCTCATCTTTTTCCTATATTACTAATGGACAGTGCTTTTTAAAGACCCCTCCCCCAACTTATTTTTGGAACAAGTCCAGTTAGCATGCAGAAATTCGAGCTTATAAATCTCGTGAATGAATCTGTATTAAAATATGGGGCATTAAGATTCCTTATTGAGTGTAATGTCCCATATTTTATTACTCATTCGGACATATCCTTCAAACAAAAGATTAGTTGTTGTTATGAGCGATGCAATTCATATCTTTCTAATAGGACGCAAAATGCTCATTATAATGATTATTCTTCAGCTAATTATAATGTTCCCTCTGGAGTACCGCAAGGTTCAAACCTAGGTCCCTTGCTGTTTTTATTCTCCATAAATAACCTAGCCGCTTCACTAAAGTAAGAATCTCTACTATTTGCTGATGATCTAAAAACCTACACCAAAATTTCGAGAGCTGTATTTCCCTTCAGGACGATCTGCGTACCATCACACAGTGGTGCGACAATAATATTCTCTTCTTAAATATTTCCGAATGCAAAGTATGTTCATATTGTCGTAAAATGAACCCGATTATGTTTGATTACGCCATAAGTAATGCGGTTTTGGAGAGAACAACAGAGACTAAAGATCTTGGTGTAACATTTTCCTGTAGATTGGACTGTTCATGTAGCACGCGTCACTTCCGAAGCGACACGGATTCTGGGTTTCATAATGCGTAACTGCCGATCTTTTTCCAATGAAGTGGCACTAAAAGCTCTTTTTATTTCACTGGTGCGACCAAAACTTGAGTATGCTTTTTTGATGTGGAACCCTTTCTATGCGTATTATACAAACATCTTAGAAAATGTACAAAGAAAATTTCTTAAATATAAAATCGATGGCACCTATCCAGAAAGTGGGGTCTCTCAATTTGTTCTGCTGCGTTGTTTTGAACTAGAGCCTCTACAGTTAAGACGTTCCACTGCTGGCCTGTCATTCCTTCATAAGCTTTTGCACGACAGAGTGGATGCACCAGAACTTCTCCAGAGGTTAATTTTCTGTATTCCACGGTTAAATACGAGAAGAACTGTAACTTTCTACTGCAGTATGTCCCGTACCAATGTATTATTTTATTCTCCGCTACATTCTATATGCAACAATTATAATTCCATAGCAGACAGTACCGACATTAATTTTGATTGTATCAGTAAGATCTTGTCTAATTTCAGGTACTATTATAATAGCTAATTCTGTTTTTTGAGTTAGTTTTATGTATACATTATATGTATGTATTATAAATAAAGATACCATTATATTATCCTCTAATTCGAATACTTCTGTTGGGCAATTATGTATAAAATAAAATAAAAAATAAAAAACTATAGGAAGCCTGCTAATCCGCTTTTTTGAAAGATAGTGATTTCATATTCCAGAGTTATAAAGGACTGATTAGGACCTCCAAAATGAGGTACCACACGATTACCTATTCCATTTCCAGGAACTCTCCATACCGTCGCCATCTCGAATTCTTCTCCTGTCATTTTTACGTTAAAGGTCAAAACAGAATGATAACTTAAAATTTCAAGTCGATAGAAAATAGGTGGAATGGAAGGGTGGGGACCTTTTTGAAAAGCACTGCTTTCACTTCATCGTGTTCCCCGGTCATTTTCTCATGGTAACATCCCTGTACATTTTTCTGCTTCCATTTGATTATTCTACATCTAACATAGACTATTCAACTTTATCTCAACCATCAACTGTCTCTAGGATTTCTGACGACTGGAGATTCTGTCATTCCATCAAACTTAGGTCTGAGAGACCAAAGGCTTGCTCTAGAATGGACACACGCTAATATCGAAAAATTTGGCGGTGATCCCAAAAATATAACTATATTTGGTGAGAGTGCAGGAGCAGCTTCAGTAGGATACCACCTTCTTGGATACGCTGAAAAACGTAAGCCGAATTTATCTACTATCCAATAACAAAATCAGGTAATATAGATAATGAGACACCTTTTTATAAAATTTAAATTGCCAATGCTTTCAATGATTTTTTGTGAACATTCCTAAAAAACTCTTGGCTGAAGATGCAGGTCATAGTAAAGAACCAGATTTTTTATGCTGTGTTTGTAAGACCAGTTTCAGAAGAACACATCTATAATATACGTATATTAATAAATTTTAAAAAGTCCAACTCAGTAGGCGTGGAGATATTTCTAATAAATTATTTATGAGTTATTGCCGTAAATTTCATTGTCCATCCGATTTCACACTCCGTCAACATGTCATCGGTTGAAAGCATTTCCCCAAAATCTTTAAAACAACCCGAGTGATTAAACTTTTTAAAAATGGTGAGAAGGGTAAGTTAAGTAAATAATAGCTTTCCTTATGAAGAAAGATATTCTCAAACACTGTCACCATAGCCTTAGAAAAAAAGAAATACTCAGACGGGTTTATTACAGTTCAATAGTAAATTGTATGAATGTTTGTATAAAGAAGAAGAGAGCATATAACTTTTCATGGAGCTGAGTAAGGCCTTTGATATGGTCAGTCATCAAACTTTAAGTTACAATGAAAAATACAGTATGGGGTCACGTCACATGCTGCTCTATGGGAGCAAACTGTAAATCTTGATGAATGCTATTATACACGACATAATGTCGAAATTGATGTACCTCAGGGCTTGATCCTAGGCCTATTACTATTTTTGCTATTTGTCAACGACATGCCAGGAGAAGCTAATATAACAGATGAGCCAATTAGGTATGCTGACGATAACACTTACTTATGCATAATAAATAAATTCATAAGCTAGTTTTTCTAGTAATCAAGTATCACTCATTGCAAAAAGACTATTTTCATAAATTTTACTCCTCATTCCACCTCAATCAATGAGACCCGTTTAGTCAGGCTCAATGGCTCAATTAGCAAACACGAAACTTCTACTCGTAGTAATTCATATTGATGCATCCCTTCAGTGGGAGCACCACATAATCACGCTTGTCGTCTGTTTGTTTTGCGATCTGGAGACTTCGACAAGTAAGTCCAGAGAGAGTTACAATTTCATATTATCATGCACAGTTTGCTTCTAGAGTAAGATATGGCATTATTTTTAGGGGCACGTCAAGCCATGTGCAAAGGATCCTCATATTGCAGCACCACGTGCATCGTGCAAAGAACTTTCCAAGAATATGATATAGTGCCAGTTCCAAATATTTTGATGATAAATCTATTAATGCACGTAAAATCAAGTTTACATAACTTTTCAGTCAATTCAGATCTTTATACCTATAACGTGCTTGAACTGCTCATTAAGCTAGAATATTATATTGAAGAAATTAGTGAGCTGGGCATATTAAAAAAAACGCTGACTAGCTACTTCCTGAATACCTGAATAAGCTTCTCTACAGTGTGTCAGAATATCTGGAACCTTGAACGTGAGATTTCAGGCCTTGACTGCAATGTTTTGTGCTTTGAGGAAGCTAGTAGCCATCATACGATACATTCCTTGTTGTAAAATTATATGTTTATTATAGGTTGGGAGCGTATCGACGTTTCCTATGCCATGTATTTGGTCGATTGAAATAAATTCATCTAAATAATTCAAACTTTCCTAAAATATTAGTCCTGTATTATTATTATTCTACCTCAGGGCTCTGAATACATTAGGGAAGAGAGTAGAGCTTGCCCATAGATATATGTTATACCTGAGACGACTATCAATATGGGCATGATAGAAACTGTTTATTTGCTGGTCGTTTAAAAATTGTATTTTTCTGCGAAGTTATAAATGCGTTTAGGTTCTATACAGTGCTAGTACTCCAGGCAGATGTTGAAAATGATGAAGGTTTCCGTGGGATGCAAAACCCATTTAAACAGAATAATCGGCGGTGCTAAAGGGCATGTATCTTAATGATCGGCTTTTACCTGGATTGTATTTTGAATTTAAAAGTCTTCAGAAAGGGTCTTTGTTTTCACGTAATTTTACATTCTCATTTTATTGCCACGAGACTCTAGTGGGATAGCTCAGGCGGCTCCAAAAAACTACGAGTATGGAGTAAGTTATATTACTTCCAAATCTTTTAATTAGATTAACTCAGTGACAATAATAGCAGCAATTTCCAGATTATGCTCAGCTAGGTATTTGCTTTTACCCAAGAATATGCTCGGATCACAAAACCGAGTAGAATTCCCCTATATAACGCCACTGCTGCTCTTCACCTTCTAAAATCACGAAGTGCATTAATAAATATTCCTTCTAACTTATCTTTTTGTGGGTCGTGACTCTTAATATTGGTAATAAGGCAAAATTATGCATTTCAACGTTATTATATCTAATCAGTCTACTTTTTTAGCTCTTTTCGCTGCAGCAATTCTAGCCAGCGGGACGGCTCAGAATATTTGGACTTACCAACATGACCCAAGAAGAAGGGCATTTGAAACTGGCAAATCTCTGGACAAACATTTCAAATCTGACGACTCAGCAGCACTTTTGGCTCTTCTCCAAAATGTATCAGCTCCGTCTCTGTTAAAATCGGACCTTCATTCAGACACAAAGCGCGTAGCAATTTTAGCTAATGATAAGAATTGGTTCCGACCACCAACTGATGCCATGGAAAAGGGACAATTTGCTAAAGTTCCTATGATGGTCGGATTCAATTCTGAAGAGTTTGGATACCCAGGTTTGTTATGAAAAGCTTAAGTAAGAGACCCGTCCATATGAATCCCGTTTACATAAGGTAGCAGAAAATAACAAGTTACTCTGTATGCGTTCAAGGAGATGATCCATTCAGCAATAAGAAACAACTAATACAACGAAATAATGTAGAAGAACACCATCAACCATGGAATGTCTGGTGTCAAATTAGACTTTATTCCTTCCTGTCTCAAAATAGGTACTGCTGAAATATTTCTAAAGGCAGCAGCGGTGGCGTAGTGGTAGATGTTATGGATCTCCTATTCAGCCACTATGCGCTGCGTGGGTTCGAATCCCGTCCCAAGAGAATTTTTTTAGATGTTGTGATTGTCCGTAGGAGGCAGATCGTTTCTGACTATCGAACGCGGCGGTACCACCCGGTGGATCTCTAAGACGGGTCCAGAATACGTGCATGTTGCATGCACACGTGCTCCCTCACCAGAGTCCATCTTGCGTCCCCCTCCCCATTTTCCTTGTATCACCGTATGGTCCCGCAGTACCCATGGCTATTTAGGCCTTAGATCTTCGTGGTGGTTCGAATATACGAAGAGAAACCCTTAATTATATACAGCGGAACTGAAAAATTTCAATTTTTTGAGAATACCCCTTGCACGTTTCACTTTACAAAAAAAAGTCATCAGCAAGAGACGATTTGCTACGACAATTATAATTTTTTTCTCTAGGATGTACCATTTGTCAGATACTCTTTGCTGCAAACCGCGAAGTTCTCCAAATTTTGATTTCTGGATAATATATTTGGGGCCATCAACACTTAGGAACACAAAATTCATACCTAATAAATTGTTCTTTATACAATTTCCTATCGCATTATAGTCAAGTTAAAATTTTAAATTTTATAGCCGAGCAAGCTTTAATTTGACACAAATATTTCCACGGTTAATAGTGTTCTTCTATACTAATTTGATCCATTAGCTTTTTCTTCTTGCTAAATGGATGTACCACCTAATCTAACTTTTTTTTATTGGAACGATTCACGATTCCGAATGTCAACCCATTATCTCCTTGAATATTAACACCTACAGAATAACGTTCAATTTTTTCATGCCTTTTGAAAGCGAAACCAATTTTTTACAATGTTTTCCCCTCTTGGAACCTACAAATGATTTAATTCATCACTGAGAATATTTTTCCACATTCCTCATTTTTTCTGCAGTACTTATCAAATAACTTTTTTTAGATAAAGATGCTTGTCTGAACGGAGCTAATGAGATTGATAAAAACATCAGTAGTATTTTGGGAGTTTTGGATGTAGGAAAGCACAATTCTAGTGAAATAGGTCTTCGTCTTAAGGAATTGTATACCAAGGGACTGTTCGCTGATGATTTACTCGCATATGTCAAGGTACACATAATTTTATTGTCTATTTTATATAAAAAAAGGTTTTTCTATGAGAATAATTATAAGTTATAAGTAACCCTGAAGAAATTATGAGAAGATTTCATTTCATGGTCTGTACAGATCAAGAGTTTGGACTTCACTATACGCATAGAATATTCAAGCTTCGCTATTAAATCTAACGCTAATGTAGTAATACTAATGAATCATAAAATATCCAGTGTTGTTCTGCAAAATGAACGAAATCAGTATCTGCAGCACTTACAATATCGTCAAATAACCAAAAAGTGGATCATTAGAATGCTGCTCTCTCTATCTCTCTCTCTCTCTCTCTCTCTCTCTCTCTCTCTCTCTTCCTACAACAACGCCTTTTCTACCCTCCACGAAGGCTGGGGTATTTCTTGATTTCTACTGTTCCGTGTCAGCATCAGCGCTCTCCTATTGTGACGCTGTGGTTTCTTTTTGTAGGAAATTTCGGGCAGATATAACATATGATACGAATCAGAAGAATGAACAATTTGATGCAAATAGATATTTGTAACAAAACCTCAAAATCTCAACCTCATAAAGGCGTCCTACTATTATTGTAGGAATAACGTCGATACGGCCGTAAGCCATAATAAGAGTGCAGTTAATAGTAGTTAGACCCAAATTCATATTTGGATTATTCTGAGGTTCTGAATTTTACTTTTCGATTTCTAGTATCTGTCAGACTATCTCTTCATATCAGCAATAGTCAAACATGCAGATAGTGCCTCTAAATTTGTCCCAACGTACCTGTACTCTTTCTCGTTTAAATCATCCAAAGGACCAAGATCAGGAGTGCCAGGTAGGTGTTCATATCTTTTGCTATAAACTGTGCTGCTAAACTAACGTATATTGTTGAACCACCTGTTTAAAAAAAAGGTGAATTGCTACAGGGTTGCGCATATACAGGGTGGCCCATCCATGGGTGGATGGAATATTACTCATAAACAAATACATTTTATGAAAATCTATTTATGGAATGTTATACATGACATTTGAGGGCATATTTCTAAAATATTGTCAATTATACCGGGTATCCCTTCTTTGAACATTGGTATAACATACTATGAGGTTTTGGTAATTATCTGAGATGAAAGGTGTTTTGTCGAGAAAAACCGTCCACTTCGGCAACCCCTCAATCCGCCATTTTGAAATTTGGAGTGCTGAATTTTGTATCAAAAAAACTTACACACCTCAGCTTTTATCTTATTTGTTACCTGTTCGAATTTCAATTTTTGCTCATACGGGGGGGTCAAAAACGCAAATTGTTTGCAGTTTTTTATAAGCTTTTTTTGATACTAGACACATAAGGGTGTATAACATGCCATAAATAGATTTTCCCAAAATGTATTTGTTTACGAGTAATATTCCGTCCAAACATGGATGGGCCACTCTGTATATATACAAGCTCAGTCTGATGTACAGCAGTTACCTCTGAAATCGTTCTGAGTGAAGATTGAGCTCTCCGACTCTTTGCACAAGGAACTATAAATAAAATATTCATTAATATGTGAAATCAAACATTCTAGGTGTAAACGGAGTTTACCATGCTGAAGACTTATCATTTTACTGGAAAGACTGTCTGTTTGAAGTTCCCGAAAGTGAACGCATTATTGCAAAGAAATTTGTGAGAATTTTAACTAATTTTGTGAAGTACAAGTAAGTAACATCTAGTTCCCCAACTATTCAAATTTCAATTATTATGCATTTTTACATTAAAAAAGCAAGAGATGTTCTTCTTAAATACACAATTTTCTAGGAACCCAATGCCACATAAAGACCCCCTGCTTGAAAATGTGTCGTGGCCCACGGTAAAACCAAACCAGATCAAATACATGAACTTTGGAAGTACATTTAAGGTTGAAGAAAATCCCAGGAACTACTCTGCAATTGATACCTTATTAAAAAAGTATCTTGTTAAGCCAGTGATTGTGTACTGAAAATAATGAATGATAATAAATTTCCATTATTTCCTCATTACGAAAAGAAAATTAATCTAAACCTTTTTATTCAGATTCAGAGCCATCTAACCTGCTCACACTAAATAAGACGCAGCCTGAAATAACTAGTTACATATCTAGAAAGCTGCTGCCTTCACTGCAGTCCCGTCAGGCTTGTGCTTCTAGTTGCAATTGGGTCGAGCTCCATAACGCAAGATACTTAGCTTAATATGCCCGACAACCTTTTGAGTATTTTTATTTGGTTCTATTTAATTTCAAAACGTCTAGTTGTCAGGAATTGACAGGTTCCGAGTGCCGAATAAGTATGGTCACTAGGCGAATATTCTATGCTGCTTCATACTACTTAATCAAATAAGTTACCGTTTAAAAACCGCTGTATCCATGTACTCCAACAGCAAATGGTAAAAGTTAAGTATAATCTGTGCGAGGGAGGTACTTTTGCAAAGTTTTCTCCAAGCGAAAGCGCGCTTCGGTGGAGAGCTTATATGAAGCCAAAGCTGCCGGAAACAATCATCAAATAGTAATCAGGAGCTTCAGTAAATCATCGTCGAGCGCACTGCGGCCAACTTACACGCCAGCTGCTGGAGAAAGAGTGCTGGAATAACGCCTTGTTGCCAGATTGATTCTTCATAAAGGGCCAGTAGGTAGTAAAAGTTATATCTGGTGGCCTCAATGCAGAACTATCCCAAATTTATTATTAGCGCGTTCGCGTTTTTGCAATAAACTAAAAACTGAAACATCGCTTCAATGCCATAACGCATGTCGCGTAGATCAGGTAGAATCTTACAACATATATACAAAGAATCTGTGTACCTTTATTTCTAATGCGTATGGTTTGAAAAATCAGTTTTTGACATATATTCAAGTATTGATCCAGATGGTATGGAAAACAGTTGTAGAGGATGAAATTCGCTGCAGCTCGTGAAAAGTGACCATTGTCCTCTAAGAAATTAGTGGCGATTATAAATTATCAGAATACGTTGAAAATTTTTGCTACTTTTTTTATGTTAATCACTAGAAACATTTTATGTTTTCGCTCCCATTCCGTATTTTTGTTATCTGCTTGGTGAACGAATTTTAACTTTTTTTTTTGACAGAAAATAAACCGCAACAGAAATTTATAGGTGTACATATGAGGAATCGTTTTAAACGCCTCTTGATGCTCACAACTTGTTTTTGCACCAGCTTTACCAATACCTCATAGTTTTTCGAATATATGGAGAGAAGTATCTTTTTTGTGTTTTGTGTATCTCCAAATAAAACTTTTCTCTAAACAATGTATTTCAGTTATAAAATCGTCTATACATTTTTTTGCTAAAATTGATGTGATGTGTTTTTGTATTACCAAAAAAATTATCCTATATTCAGCCAAAGAAATTATACTCATGCAAAGGTATTCTATAAATACTGATGACCTTTATTACCAAACATACCGAAATCATGACCTAGGCTAGTTCTGATCTACAGACTTGAGCGCTTTATAGTGGTAAAGTACCTTATATCCACGATTATCTCTCAACAAGATGTGTAGCAAGAATTTCAAACGTACGACGAGAAAAATGGATTTCTGAACGTAAGCTTTGAAGGATGAAGATCTATAGGTGGGGTTTTGGCCATAAAAATAAATCAAATTTTAAGTTATTTGCATTTAAATATTTGGCATGTCTACATAAGGGAAGCTGGAGAGATGAAGGTAAAGAGATTACCCTAGATAAAATTAAACAACAATTGTGTTTCTAAGTCTTCTGTGGACTGTGGCCCAATTTGGATGAGTATCTTTGAAGGAAGGATCCAATTGATATTCTCCAACCCAGCGAATGGACCATGAGTTTTTTAGCTAGGTTTTTCTTGTAGTTTCCATCTCAAGGCAAAAGTGACTTGCTTTATACTATTTCCCCACAAAACAGAGATGTCGAAGTACTTCAGATCCATAAACAATGCACATGAACCTTTTTGATCGAAGGGTGCATTAACCGATGTGTTACGACAACATTTATGGGTGGGTCTCGGCTTCTTCTGGGAACTTTTGGCGTTTTCGGGAGGCTTTTGGCGCTTTCGGGACCATAGACGAGGGTGATGCGTCTGCTACATTAAAAAAGACAGATAAAATACATGATACCTCATTTTAGAAGTATTTGCAAGACTTCCTTGCTAGTGAGCGTGGGAAGTAAAGATAGGTGTTTATACATGGCAACACCGTCAAAATGAAACGGCAGTAACATACATAAAAGTACAAGGGTGTAATATCCGACACCTTTTTATAGCGAAAATGCTCATAATGTTTGGAGGGCACCTAGCCGCTTCACTCCGTTTGATTTTAATAATTTCATTGCTACTCCAGTTATTCAAATAGTGTGTTAGATTTGACATGTTTCACTCAAAAAGAGAAAACAATGTATATATTCTGTGAAAACTACTACACTGAATTTTGCTTTACATTCTTTACCATACAGCTGCTTCCATTAAAATCTTGTTTAGTGGATCCCAATGTTCCGTGTACATACCCATAGAAGTACCACGTGTTTCTAGACACAAAATAAGTCGATTGGGCATGATTTATCTCTATGCAAAAGTGCTTTGTTTGTCTGTTAGGGGCAACAAGGTTTTCTTTTTAAAACGCAATTTTTAAGATATTTTGAGAAACAATAGGCCGATTTGAATCAAATTTGGAACATAGATGTTTTGCTAGACACTCTAATATTTGACTTTTATTATATAATATGCATATATATATATATATATATATATATATATATATATATATATATATATATATATATATATATATATATATATATATATATTTATGATGAAATTAGAGGCATTCCGGCCACCATAAGGAGCCAGTGCATAGGCCGCTTAAGCGGGCCCTCATGCACCTCTACAATCCTTAGATCACAAGCCTCGCCCTCTTAGCGAAGTTGAGAATCGCCTTGAGTCCAAGCTCCATGACGTCCTGAGGGTCCAAAGTAATAGACCCCAGTATAGTCTGCCTATAGTAGCTCATAGCTTCACAGCGACACAAAACATGCGCCGAGGTGTCTTCTTCTACCCCGCAGCGTTCACACAAGGGATCCTCAGCCACCTTCATCACGTGCAGGTGACGCTTTAACGTGTTATGGCCAGACAACAGTCCCACCAGCAACCTTAGGTTGGCTGTATCCAGAGATAGGCAGAAGCGTCCATCCTTAGCACTGGGTCCTTCAATGAGTTCCCGTGCCTGGCGGAGATGTCTGGAGATACTTCTCCATTTCTGAGATTGTTTTGCAACTCACGCCTATATTTTCCTCCTAGCTTTATGCGCGGTCACTCCTAGAGCTGGTTCAGGACCAACGAGCTTGTTGGCTGATCCTGTCTTCGCCAGAGTGTCCGCCGTCTCATTGGCCCTTATTCCAGCGTGTCCCGGTACCAATATTAATGATACCGGATGCCTCGCTGCGAGGCAATCCAGAGCCTCCCTGCATTGCAATACAAGACTCGAAGAAATCTTACAGGCACTTAGTGCTTTCATTGCAGCCTGGCTGTCAGATAAGATCGTTATTCTTCTCCTAGGCCTACCCTCCTCCAGAATGTGAGATACATAAGCCAGAATAGCGAAGATTTCCGCCTGGAAAATAGTGGGGTATCCACTGAGAGGCAGAGATAGCCTAGTTCTAGGCCCAGAGATCCCAGCACCTGAGCCCTCTTCGGTGACCGAGCCGTCCGTGTACCAGACCTGCCCGCTCACACCGGCGTCCCACTCCTCCCTCGTTGGACACTCCACAATAAACTTGCGGTTGAAGCGATATTTAGGGACAATACGATCACCCCTGCTTAGAAGGACGGGGTCCTCCCTTTGCAATTCGACTAAGATGGCAGTATGCCCCTTGACAGCATTCAAGAAAGCCCAGCTGCCCTGACTCCACAGTCGATGAGCGACTACTCTCGCTTCACCGCGGATCACCAGATCCAACGGTGGGAGATTCAACAGAGCTTCCATTGCACTCAATGGCGTTGTTCGCACTGCGCTTGTAATACTCGTACTAATACAGGCCAAACGCTAAATTTTATAGAGTTTGGCCTTAGTTGTCTCAGTTCTAATGCAAGGCCACCAGACCATGGAGCCGTACAAGAGAGATGGACGTACTATCGTCCTGTAGAGCCAGTATACCACTTTGGGTTTAAGCCCCCACCTTACACCGACAACACGTCTACAGGCCCACATCGAATTGCGAGCCTTGCTAAGCTTGTATTCAACATGCTCTCTCCAGTTCAGTTTGCAATCCAGGATAATTCCCAGATATTTCACTGACTGGAACAAAATTAATCTAGTCCCAAAGAAGGTCGGCATGACCAGCCCGTCAAGCCTTCTTCTCCTAGTGAATAGGATCAGCTCGGTCTTTTCAGCATTAACAGAAAGATCGACTTCCCTACACCACGATTCCATAGAGCGCAGAGCGCCCTGCATAATTTTCGATGCTGTTCTACAAAAACGCCCCCTAACTATTATGCTTATATAAATATATACTTTACATACATTTTTTTGGAAATGGTGTCAATCTTTTATAAAAGGTGTTCAGTATGACCACCATTATCGTTCCTGCATATAACAATACGCCCCAAACAATCTTGACACTTGATGAAATAAGAACATTTTTTAGAAACCAGATCCTAAAAGCATTTTTGTTCTCGGAAACTATACGAGATAGCCGGTTACTATATCAGACAAAAAATGAAGAAAATAAAAGGACCTTTTGAATAAAAAAAATTAGAGTCTTTAGGAGAGTTTGGAAAAGATTCTGCTATAATTTATGTAGGTGTGGGGGTATTTTTCACCCTCCTCGAACCCTTTCAGTTTTTTTTTGGAGGAATCAGATATTAGGGCATCTAACAAATCACATATGTACCAAATTTGAAGCACTTTTGCATCGGTAAATCATGTAAAATCGACCTATTTTGAGTCTAAACATACGTGGTACTTTTATAGTATGTTCAGGGAATATTTTTATACCGTATATAAGGGTTACAATTAAATTAACAAGAAGTTGAATCATGACTACACCTTGCCGGTATGCGAAAATCTAAACCTCCCCCTCTCCCTCGCAGACAGTGGAGCTTTCCCAAGAACAAAGTTTAGACGGAGTGCATGTTCTGGATATACTGAGTGAAATGGGACTACTAGAATCAAAATAGATGATCATTATACATACATATACATCTTTTATACGCTTTTTTACGCGGTGTCCATTTAGAGACCATAATTTCCATAGCTATCTAACGTCTCAGTTTACTACACTTAAAATAAGAGGTTTTCCTGCTATGGTTCGTATAAATTCCGCTACTTTTCCCATTATGCTTAGAAAAAGTTGTTCTTCTACCTCGAATTGAGACATAAATTCGAAATTCTTTCTTGTTAAAGTCATAACCCTGGTGTATTCTTAAACTTCTTGTGCAATAAATCAACATGGGTGTAAAACAACACAAGAAGCCACGTAAGATACTGCTTTAACATCATTTGCCAGAACATATTGATATTTGAGATATGACTTGCAAAAGTTCGATTCATATTTTTAACACGCTTTTATATTAGCTTGGCCTGTATGCATAGTATGTATGTATGTATCTAACGGAATCATTGAGCATAATTTTCACCATTTTCTAGAAGTTTGATTAACTTGAGACTTCGCACTCGTATCAAGGACCAATGACAATGCAATAATTTGATAACAGTTTTCCATTATCCTTATAAGTAAAATTCTGTAAAATTCAGATATATTAATGAAAAGCCACGGATTTCAGATGCCGCCTTACGAATAGTGAAACTACGATCTGCGCATGCGTGCAGTTTCGGACTTACTCTTTGTTGATGTTCATGTTGCCATTAATCCTGAGTTGAGCATCGATCGTCCACAAGATGCAAGGTTGTACATTGACTTATCTAGGATCGCGACTGTTTGCTACTAGACAAGCACTTAGTCGTGTAGGATTTTTAGACGGTATTCGTACTGAAGAACTTAATTGCTCTAAGTTAACAGGGAAAACCCCATGCAACAGTGAAGCTTTAAATAGAATGATTAGGTTACGAAATGATTCGTAAGGCACTTCAATACCACATGGCCACAAAAAACTAATTGATAAATAGAACTAAAAAATGAAAAATAGTTCAAAAACACTAAAAAAGCACGCTTATATAGCTAACCGAGCTAACAAGTAGAAAATAATTTTTAATTATAAAGAGATTATATTATAGTAGTAGATGGCCGAACAATCAATCATAATAGATGACTTCAAAATAAAATAATTATAAAATTTAAGCTATTGACAGAATAATTCGATTCAGAGTAAAAAGCGTGGGGGCACTTTACTACATTTTCATAACTCTCCTTTCATAGATAGTTGCCAATAAAATGATTGTAACATTTTAATTATATATCTAGCACCCCAAGCTTTTTACTCTGAATTAAATGATTCTTTTAATAACTTAAATTTATTATAATTTTATTTTGAGGTCATTAATTATGATTTTTCGACTATCTACTACTGTAATATAAACTCTTTGTAATTAAAAATTATTTTCTACCTTTTAATTCGGTTGGCGATAAAAGCGTGTTTTTAGTTTTTTGAACTTTTATTCATTATCATCACAAGAACTTCAAGCAGGCAAAATGAAGTACGCCAAAACGGAACACCACCTAAAAACACAAAATGGGGTTGTATTTCACCGATATCTTAGGTACATGGACCTATTATTTTTGATCATACTGTATGATTAAAATGGGCATCTTTGCTTTCCGTCTCCATGACCAACTGCGGAGAACTCTGTTTCGTGCTCATTAACAACTCATTAGTGCGTTATAGATGTTAGGACTAGTCTTGGAGACAGACAAAACAGGAAGCAAACAAGTGGGTATAGTCGCATGTTTTGAGTGTTTCAGCAGTTTGATCGATTGTAATGTCGGCAATGACTGGACTATAACAACTCGACGAACTCCAATAACCAACAAATTTTATTCAATTAGGTACAGTCAACCCACTTGATACTGTTTGTAAGACGCAAGCTTTTGCTTCATAATGACCCTTATTTAATTGAGGGTGCAGTTCATTTATGAACTAGTTGTCAAAACAAAACCATGTAAAATATTGTCCATGCCCTATATCTTTGCCACCATATTCAGTTGATGAAATCAATTTTGTGTATATCAAAATAAAATTGTCAGTATGAAACCCAGTCGACTGAGTCTGTAATTTTCATTGAGGTTCGTTTATTTTTATAATGCCCATGTCAAGCACCAATATTTCTGTCTGACATGCGATACGTATCGCTTTCATCGCGCATCCAGCAAATGCCCTGAGTATATGGTTGACTGACAGACTGAATCTATGCACACAACGGCAACGGATTTCAATGTATGAATGAAAATGACTGTCAAGTATCAAGAGTTGTTGTGTACTCGTACCGTTATAGCATATTACTGGTATAATCATTTTTTTCAAAAAAAATGTAGTCGAGTAAATAGACTCCCCACTTCCCATGCAACGCTATCATCAGTTCATAAAGGATTATGCTCGGCACAAGGGGCTCTGACGTGAGATTTAACTAAGAGCTTGTATATGGAAACAATTAAATGAATCAAGTCAGTCAGAGAGGCCATATAACTCGTCCATATTCCCCCCACATTCGATAATACTAGGAATCTCTTCCCTGCCCGACTAAAGTTATCAGCCTTCTGCCAGTTCTTTCAAGTCTCTTCCAGATTTCTTACGAATCCAGCATCTTCCCTAAGAACTAGAAATTTGCTCATATCCAGCCCATCCCAAAAAACGGATCTGGGATCGGCCCCTATCACTGCAGGCTTCTAGCTCTGCCTTCTGCTATAGGTAAGGTGATGGAGAGGAGAGTAGCTTTGCAGATGGGTGGCTGATTTTTTCTCTGATTGTCGTAATATATTAACGGCCTCCTTTTCTGTACGATCAATCTGATGCACAGCTTTGCTGATGACAACACTGTACATCCAGGAATTCAGAGTGACAAGCCGATCTCTGCCGAAGAGCTGGAGAAAAGAAGACTGGCAGTGACTTCTGACGAGAGACCTGGTCTTGATCTGGCAAAAACACATCTTGTCAATAGCGACAGCTGCTGGAAAGAAGCTAGGCTATTTGTTTAGGGTTAAGAAGCCTTTTTCTCCACATGACCTCCTCACTCTATACAAGGCCCAGATAAGACCTAACCTTGAGTATTGCTCGCATGTTTGGGGTGCTGTCGCCCTAACTACATTATCCATGCTCGATGCTGTTCAGAGGATGGCTGTCCGACTGATTGATGACTCTTCTTTGACAGACAGTATGGGGCAGTCTACCGCTATGTCAACGAGCTTTGCTCCTCAGAGCTTTCCTACATGAGCCGACGCGCGATGTGCCAGCCAGACAGACCCGCCTGACTTTAGCTTCTCATCCTAACCGTGTCGAGCTTCGTTCATCCAGAATCACTCCTTTGTCCATTGGTATCGAGACTATGAAACGATCTACCGGAGGATACTTTTCTCAGTTCTTCTAATCGTAGGCAGCTCAAAAATCGGATTAACAAAGTTTCTTTAAGCTCCTTATAGCAGCTGCGGTGCCCCAGTATTTCGGCTTCTCATAAATAGTAGCTATCCTGAAGCTTTATCCAGATTCTGAACTGTGCCTCGTGAATCCATATCCTCTGCTCGTAAGTGAAGGGAGTAAGGAAGGAAGAAGAGGGAGCATTATTAGTCTCCTCTCCCCCCCCTGACGGAAATTAGGATCGTAAGATATGTGTGCTGGCAGTCTGAGACGCAGTCTGGCCAGCCATGTTTCCTCAAGATATATGACGTCGATAACGTATACTCAGTTTTAGGATGGGACACATCCTTGCATTGCCTCGCTGCTTTCGGCCCTTAATATCTGCTGCCAGGGATGATGCCAACGCCAGCTAAAGGACCAACTAACTACCCCAGAGGCGCACCAAATTAATTTTATTATGTTTTTCTGGATAATGAAAATTCAACGTGCTGACGGTACAAAATAGACCTAGGTATACAGTGCTTTTTAGAAGGGCCACTCAGGCTTATTTTGTGAAGGGATCAAGATAGCAATGTAGAAAGAGATAGATGCATAAATACTATATTTCAGCGTCTAAGAAAAATTTTTGGAGAATTTTTTAAATGGAACGTGGGGTGCATATGGTGCCTCATTTTGAAGCTCGTTATCAGAACATTGTAATCCTATAACAAATTTATTTAGCAAAATAACATAAGGGCTGCGAAAAATGAGCGTTATTGATTTCACAAGCACAAGCAATCATCAAAATGCTATCGAATATCAATATTTTTCTTTTGGTAAGATCTATCCAAATAAGTAACAAAATATTCATAAAAAAAATTTCAAAGTTTGTTTTGTGTTTGTTGTTTTTTAAGGGAGTATTTCTTCTTCTATTGCATCTTCAAGTTGATTAATTGCTAAAGGATGAGATCGATATTTATCATACACTATCGCCGTTTCATAATTGGCTATTGAATTATACTCACTCAGTACACAAAAACGTCTAACCTTGAGAGTCGTGGTAATCAAATGTATGCACATTTTAGTGTAAAAGAACAAATTAAAATTTCAACATGGCGGCTGTGCGCCATCTTTAAGTATTTCTTAAATGGGACTGTAGGAGCATGTGATACCTCATTCATTTTCAACTTCCTTATCACGAATTAAGAAAAAGTGTTCCAACGTGGCTCCTTGCCACTATCTTATAAATACTAATTGTCAGTTGTACGATGGATGTCTTTTAGGTTTTACATATGGAAATAAAACAACACGGAGGTAGTTTTAAATGACTTTACTGTTTTTCGAAGTATTCTCCACAAAGATTAATACACATCTGCATGCGCTCGAACCAATTTTCGAAGCACTTTATCCCACTCGTTTGCTGGCAGATCCAAAACGGCATTTTTGAATGCGTCAACTGCTTCTTCTGGTGACTGGAACCTTTGACCACGCAGTCTGTTTTTAATTTTTGGGAGAGTAAAGAAATCGCTAGGACTTAGATCGGGACTATATGGAGGATGATCCAATAATTCAACATTTTCTTCCGTTAAATACTGCCTTGTTTTTTGGGCTGTGTGCGAGCTTGCATTGTCTTGGTGGAGAATGATTCTTCTTTCGGGGTTGATTTTTCGAAGCTCGGTGATGATTTTTGGCAAACAAATGGTGGTATACGAATCCGCAGTAACAGTTCTTTGCTCATTAAGATAAATTGTTGCAATATGACCCGCTTTTGACACAAATGTTGCGACCATTTTTTTCGAAACACTTCCAGAACGAATGACTCTTCTGGGCTTTTCTTCACCTTGGAACACCCAAACAGCCGACTGTCGTTTATTTTCTGGTTCATAACAGTAAATCCACGATTCATCACCACTAACAATGATGTACACATTTTTTGAGTTTCCAGAATTGAAACGGTGAAGCGTTTTTGACACCAATTAACCCTGGCTGCTTTCTGCTCTTCAGTCAACAGGTGGGGTATCCAACGTGAAACTAATTTTCTTGCTCCTAATTCTTCATGTAAAATTTTTTAAATTGAGGTCTTTGAGATCTTCAAGGACGCCTCAATCTCGCGATATGTCACATGTCTATCTTTAATGATGAGTTTGCGCACAGCATCGACGTTTTCCTGAGTGACTGACATTTTTGGCGCACCTACCCTGGGATCGTCGCTAAGACTCACCCGTACACGTTTGAATTCTCCATACCAACGGGAAATTGTCGACTGATGTGGCGCTTCGTTGCCGAAAACAGACAGTAACTCAGCAAGGTATTCTTGTTGCGATAATTGTCTCAGAAAGTTGTAATAAATTGTGGCGCGAAAATGTTCTCGGTTGAGTTCCATTTTTCTCAAGACTTGGTGAACCTTAAAAATTCACTGTAGTGAGAACACTGCACGTATTGTTGTGAAACTTTGAATTTAAGTTTACTAAAGAATGAGGTTAAGATTCGATATATATATATATACAGGGTGACTTCGAAGTTGAGTCATTTATTTTAACAGTGAGTAGATCTGATCAAAAGAAATGTTTTTTTCCTTTACCATTTTTCTGGTAAAATTAAAGTAACAAAGTTATAGCCCTTTGGAAGTTTGAGTACCGCCCTCCCTATTATATGCTCGTGTTTGGCGACAACAGATATAATCCGCTTGACCGGTTCATCGCATCGGAAACAAAAAAGCGAAAGAATTTGAAACGTTTATCACGATGTTTTTCGTCAGTCGATAACGCGTAAGTGAATAGTAGTGTGTTGCGTGGCTCAAACGAAATCAAAAATGGCACATGTTTACGAAAATGCTGAACTTGTGGACATGATTCTTATTTACGGGGGGGGCAGTCTTTACAAAATGCTCCCGGATGCATCACGGATTTATGCGAATCGGTTTCCCAATCGAGTGCAACCAACCCCTCGTGCCTTTGTTAATGTAGTGCAAAGGGCTCGTGAATCAGGTGACTTAAGACCTCACAGGTGAGGGCATGCTGCTCCAAGACCGCACGATCAAATACAGGTCCGCACTGAAATACTTGTCGGGAGGATACTTTATTAAACAAGGTAACATTTTTTTTTTATTTTTTTTTTATTTTTACACACATATTTTGGTTTATCTTCCTTCTACAATCATTATCTGAAAATTAATGACTCAACTTCAAAGTCACCCTGTATATATATACGAGTGGTACCTATACATCGACGAAATTATGTCAGCATACCACAAAATGCGATCACATTTTTTCATGAAGATAACGATGATGTCCTGTTGGATAACATATTCTATAACAATATGGAATTTTCACACCCGCGCTTTGGCTGTGGGCTAGTGACTTCTTGCGATGGTGACGTTCATTGATATCGTATAAAATCTTCCAGAATCAACTCTATCTAACAATCCTCAGACGATTAACTACATCAAACAAATCAGTTTAATTATTCTCATTATAGGTAAAATTGAGCAGCAATTGTGCCAAAGGACTACCGGACACTTCACTCGAAGAATGATCATCTGTAGAAACAGCTGCAGAATCCTACTGTAACGAAAACACCGGTTTTACTGTCCAAAGTCTAATTTATTAATTTAACATTAATTTATAACACTAGTTTATGTCAAGTTTATTACTATTTCGACTGGACTATCGAATTGACTCATCCATCGTTGTTCCTAGACTCGACTGTACGTACTTCACAAATATCGCGCCCATATATTATGAAATCGGCCAATCCAGAAGCTTTCCAGGACATGCGCGCGACATTTCTCGAACGCATCCCATCCCTCTCGATGGCTTTTCTACGTAACCGCGATCACCCTCGAAGCTTCTCCACTAAGCTACAACCTGCAATACATGATGGTGTAACTCTGGTTGTCTAATTTTCGCTATTCAACGTCCTAGTTACGTGGACGTTTCAATACTTACGAGGGATACTTTTAAGTGAGGGCCACGCAGTAAGGTGTTTCTTGATGGAAAACGCTTGGACAATGATGACATGTTGAAAAGCAACACTGATTTAACAGTCAGACGCAGCCTTCTATGCCAACTCGATCCAAAGGCTGGTAATCCCCATGTTTTTCTGACCAAACGGCATACATGTTTATATGTCGTTTTATTCGGTGAGACATAATGGGAGACTATCAGCATCAAAATCACACGATAAGTTTCAAATGTTACATTAACCAAAAGCTGGTGCCACGAGTTGGCAAATATTCAAATTTTTATGTTGACTATGTTGAAGAATGAGAAAACGTCCATACCTTAGTTTGTGATACAATTTACATCCATAAATAATGCTTTTCTGACTTCATCAAAAACCGGTTCTTATTTAAAACATGACTCTCGTATAAGACATAAATCTCACACTTCTAGATTTGGATTTTATTGGCTTTATACAGGGTGACTTCGAAGTTGAGTCATTTATTTTAACAGTGTGTAGATCTGATCAAAAGAAATGTTTTTTTCCTTTACCATTTTTCTGGTAAAATTAAAGTAACAAAGTTATAGCCCTTTGGAAGTTTGAGTACCGCCCTGTCTCAATAATATCATGTGTTCGTGTTTGGCAACAACGGTTCATCGCATCGGAAACAAAAAAGCGAAAGAATTTGGAACGATGTTTTTACGATTACAATTCAGTTCAGTTATACATACAGTCAGTTTCAGTCGCGTGTGAATAGTGTCTGTTGCGTGGCTCAAACGAAATAAAAAATGGCACATGTTTATGCGGATCGGTTTCCCAATCGAGTGCAACCAACCCCTCGTGCCTTTGTTAATGTAGTACAACGGGCTCGTGAATCAGGTGACTTAAGACCTCACAGGGGACCTCACGATCAAATACAGGTCCGCACTGAAATACTTGTCGGGAGGATACTTTATAAAACAAGGTAAAATTTTTTTTTAATTTTTTTTTTATTTTTACACACATATTTTGGTTTATCTTCCTTCTACAATCATTATCTGAAAATTAATGACTCAACTTCAAAGTATATAAACAAAATTCCGAATTACCGATTACTACAAGTGACTTGCACTCCGATACCCTATACTTGTGATAATACGAGTATATTGTTAAAAATATTATGCCACGTCCATGACTTCACATAGAGTACGGCATAAATTAAAGGAGCGGTGGTCCTGGCGAAACGGTTGAGACTTGAGGCATAATAGATTTCGTACGTGAGCGTGAAAGGTTGGAGCTGCACATTGCATGCTCGATGCGTCCTGCCTTCCCAGGAGCCTTCCCTTCCCAACGCAGATCCCATCGGTTTAGACGAGCTGAATGAATTTATAGGCATGCTATCACCAGCGGTGGAACATATTTTTGGTGGAATGATCCGTTGAAGAAAATATTGGTGTTTAGTTTGCTCCACAACACCGGATGATTTCTACGTTTCCTTGTTCGGCAGAGTCATTTCGTAAGAAACCCATATAATGTCAAAAAACCGATAAAGCTTGCTCACTAAACAGCTGATAAGCATGCGATTATGAGGAAAGTGCATGAATTCTTCTTTAGGAATGAAATACCTACTATAGATAAAGTACTGCAGGAGGTAAATGGAGATACAACGTTGCCAAATTTCAAACGATCAACTTTCCATGCGTTACTGAAGCACTTAAATTTCAAATGGAAAAAACGGGGTCGTAATAGTTTACTACTGGATAGAGAAGAAATTGTGCTATGGAGGAGGGATTATTTAACAAAAATTGGGAAATATAGAAATCAAAACAGGAAGATTTATTACCTTGATGAAACGTGGGTAAACGCAGGACACACTACAAGTAAAGTATGGGTTGATGATTCTGTAACTTCATCCGGGAGGGCCTTTCTAGATGGACTGTCCACCGGATTAAAAAATCCAGCAGGTAAATACGAGTAATAGACAACAATCGGATGTTTTTCAAACCTTGGGAACAAGGTTCTAAACAGTAATTCCAGGTGGCAGATAAAACATATTACAAGTAACAAAACTTTTATAACTTTCGATAAAATGCGTGGATGTTTTATTGTCATTTTCATTTGTTAGAACTTTTTTAAGCCATGTTTTTATGTGTTTTCGATATTTCAATATTTTTTTAATATAATCTTAAAATATGTCGAATATTATAAACTTAAAAAAAGTTACTAAGTTTTATATTGTATACCGTTCCTAATATTTCTAATCATTTTAATTCATACTTTAAGCTTTATAAAGTTATAATTTGTTAATATTAATATTTGCGCGTATTTCAGGTTCCTGATCATTCATTTTTTAAAGGTTTATAACTTTAAATTAAATTGTGAAGCGCTGAGTAATCATACGACGTTCAATATTCTTTCTTTCAATATGACTAAATAATCCCAATTATAGCAATTTGATACTCATGTCTCAATGTTTTTTCGCTGAATGTGATGAAAACATTTGAAAAAGGTTCGCTTATTGAAATAAATCTACACCAGTTAGTGCTTCGATTTTCAGGTAAAGGGAAAAGGCTCATTATCTGCCATATTGGCAGTGAGGATGGATTTGTTGTTGACGGTCTGTGGTGCTTTGAGTCTAAGAAAACTGGAGATTACCACGGGGAAATGAATGGCGAATCGTTTGAAGAGTGGTTTTCAAAAATTTTACCGAACTTAGAGGAAAACGCAGTAATTGTGTTGGATAATGCGCCTTATCATTCTCGAAGAATGGAAAAGGTCCCAACAACGGCTTCAAGGAAAGTTGATGTTCAAAATTGGCTCCGCTCGAAAAATATCAACTTTGAAGAAGCAATGCTGAAAGTACAATTATTAAGAATTGTCAAGGATCACAAGGCGGAATATCAAAAATACGCCATTGACGAAATGGCAGCAAGTCAAAATAAAACTGTGCTCCGTTTACCTCCATACCATTGCGATCTCAATCCCATTGAGCTCATATGGGCAGAGGTCAAAAATTATATAGCTAAGCACAATACAACTTTTAAATTTTGTGACCTCAAAGGACTTTTCAAAGAAGCACTAGAATTAATAACAGCGCAAAAATGGGAAAACTGTATTAAGCACGTGAAAGACAAAGTTGAAAAGAGAATGTGGGAACTGGACAATATTTTAGAGGAACAAGTCGAGCCATTCATTATTGACGTTGGTGCTTCAGGCAGTAGCGATGATCAAATTCGGTAAGTTATAAGTAATTATAAAGCTACTGCATTTTTTAATTAATTATTGACATTTTTGAACCCATTTTGGCAAAACCTATTCAAGAATCTACTTTCTGACAATTTTTTTACGTTTTGAACGTTTTAATTTGGTTACATATTTACCTAGAAATCAAAAAATATGCTAATCAATATTCTAAAAGCAATTTTAAGAGATATACGATTATTTTTAATTTAGGCTAATTTA